TTTTCATTCTGATCATTTATGTATACATTTGTCTATATCTATCTCGATTCGTTTTGCCTGTTACAAACAACCGTTATGTGAACAAAGTTATAATACCCTTGTGCACAAGTGCGCTCGGGAATAAAAAGGCGAATGGGATTTTCTGTCGAAAAACGGGATTTTTTGCATACCAAGCAAGAAAATTCAGTAATTGATAAATAAGAAAAAGCTGCTCTCTGTGGTAGCGCCGTTCATATGAACCCTATCAGCAAAATTTCATTCATTTTAATTTAATTGTAATAGCAAGTGTATGAGTTATACAGAACGTAATTGGGCAAAATAAAGTGATATAAGTTAGAAAAACGTATGGGGAACTCGAGAAGTTGTCTATTTTGAAAACATTGAAACAATTTTCAATCATTGCTTGTTTTTTCAAATCTTTTGGGTTTATAGATTCTGAAAATATTTTGAGTGATTGTATTCTTTGATAATGCAAATAGTAAAATTTGCGATTGGCAAACGTTTGAGAGGTAGTCGTTAACAAAGAGGCAGTAAATAGTTCAATGGTTACTGACATCAAACCGAAAAAGAGAAATAGATTAAGCGAAAAAGCATTAAATATGTGTAGTCACATCCAATTTACTTAACAAACAACCTAATTGTGCGACTTAGGGCCAGTTTTTCTGTGCACGGCTGTGGTTTAAACCTAGTTTAAACTAAGATTAGCCAATGAAACGTCGGCCATCTGATCAATTTAAACGCGAAAACGAATGAAAAGGTTGTTTGTGTAAAATATTTATATTAATAGGTATATAATGGCGCACAGTGTTGCGAAACCGGAATTTTTTGGAAATCATATTGCCTAAACTGTAATTTTAATTGTATCGATGAGAAACTTCTACAGATTGGTCAGAATGAAATCCCAAACAGAATGAGTGAAAAAAAAATTTACACCGAAAAAAATTGTTGGGTCAAATTTTCAACAAAAGTCAAAAAAAAAATTGTTCGAAAAATTTACAAAAAAAATTTATTTTAATTGTTCTTTTATTTCTGATAAATACCCTATGATTAGTTTTTTAAATAAACTATAGGGTGGTCCGAACAAGAATTATAAACGTTAAATTTTCATNGTTGAAAACAAATTATGTAACATTTCTGTAGTGGTTTGGAACTGGGACTCTCTGGGACTTTTTAGATATTGCTTACCTAACCCAAATTTAAAGGAAAAATTGACCTTTAGTCGGGTTTTCGCTCTAAAAAAGGTGCATATGAAAAGGTCTCAAACAACATTCCTTTTATTACAGAAGATACTTGTCCGAAGGCAGATTTTTTTTCCGAATCAAAATATCTGTCACCAAAATCAAATGAGATCATTTTGAATACAGCCCTGAAATCCCCTCTTTTCGTGAAAATTTTGTATATTTGACTTCTAAAATCAATTAAAAATCAACGGGCTAACATAAAAATAAGCTTTATGTGTTTTTTGTTTACTTGGAATGTCTGTGACAAAATTGCATCATTAAAAACACTGAAAAAAATAATCGGAAAAAAGTTACTTTTCCACTAGCCGCAACACAGTGTGGCGGGTAAATTTGTATGGGAGATTTTTTCGAATAAGCGCGTATTGCACATATGTACATATAAATAATTCTAAGCAACTTTGCCGAATNTATATAAAACTAAAATCTATTTCATTTCTTATTTGAAAGGTGGCAATAAAAACTTTAATTTANTTTCCACTAGCCGCAACACAGTGTGGCGGGTAAATTTGTATGGGAGATTTTTTCGAATAAGCGCGTATTGCACATATGTACATATAAATAATTCTAAGCAACTTTGCCGAATAAACCATGGCTCTAAAATCAATTTGGAATTTGCCAAATTGTGAAAATAGGTTTCTTAGCACTTTGCTGAAGTATTGCAAAGAATTGCATAAATTTTGTACAAAAACATGCTGCAGGGGTTTTTTGGTATGAGGAATCCATTT